ACCAGTTCCTGAGCTCCCAGAACAATCACAGCCCCTTCCTACATCCTGGAGACCCCATGCTCCCAGCCTAACAGTGCCTACTCTGCTAGGACAGACACACTTGTCCTACCTTCTAGATCACAGCCCATTGCTATAGCCACATACTCAGCCATTCTCTCCCAGTCTCATGCCTGCCCCCCACATCACCCCACATAAACCTGCACCACTAACCCCCCCAACCCTATCTATAAAAGACCCAGCTCAATAAACTGGAGTCGGACGCTCCTTTGGAGTTACTCCAGGAGGTCCAGCCTGGAACCCCCAAATTCAGGTTGGCTGTGTTCTTTACTAGATCTCACTGTTTACCTAACATTCCTGATTATAGGATCTTACTTTTACTGGACTGAAAAATTGAAACTGCTAGTAATACACAATTGATCAAAATAAAATATACCACAATATTGACAAATACTTGTTAAATATAAAAAGTAAAATTATTTTGGATATTCATTGCTAAAAGATGTGGCAGGCTCCCTATGCCTCATTAGTTCATGTAGCCGTAGATGAATGCTAACTCTGCCAGAATAAGGTTCTCTTCTATTTTTCTTTCTTTTATCCAAATAACAGGAATAGGAATTTTGCTAAGAGTCCAGTTTTTGTCTAGTTGTATGTTAAGAATCAGATGGTACTTTATCATGAAAAAAAATGGTTTATAAGTAGCTGCTAATTCCAGAGTCTCCTGAAATTTTATTAAAAGCAAAACCCTGCAAATCATCTGATTTTTCAGAAGGATTTTTTTTTCAGTGCTGTATATGGAACCCAGACCTTGAGCATCTAGACAAGCACTCTACCACTGAACTATATCCCCAGCCTCTGAAGGATTTATTATCCACGATTCATTCAGCATGTCAATAACTATGCATACATAATTCCAAGTTCACTTTGTTTGATGGTTTGAAAATATTTATACCCTGGGGGATTCTAGATTTTTTTTGGTTTGGATTTTGTTTTTTTGAGACAGTGTCTCCTTATGTAGCCAAGGCTGGTCTTGAGCTTCAGACTCGCCTGCCTCATCCTCCTGAGCGCTAGGATTAGAGGTGTGTGCCACTATGCCCAGCTGGGGCCATCTCCTTGGAGTGTCAGAAGGGAAGTGTTCAGCCTGCCATGGTGGTTCACGTCTGTAATCCCAGTACTTGGGAGGCAGAGAGAGGCCTGTTTAGTGAGGAGAATATTCTCACCTCACTGAAGTATCACAGTATTAAACAAGGACCCAGCATGTGTGCATGTACACAGTGACCCACACATGCAGGGATCCTCCCCTCATTTATTCCACACCACTTTATGCTTTCTGACACTTGCCAGGTGAACCTCACTGTCGCCTTGCTCCTCTATTAAGCGCGAGACTGACTGCTATCACTGACAAGATCTAGAGCTACCCCTCTCTCACCATGCGGATGCTCCAACCTGCATGGGGTCTTTCATGCATCCTGTGAGGGGCTGTATTGAAGGACAGCTAGTAACTGGTAAAGATCACTGGAAATGATCTAGGTCTTACAGAGAAACCACACACAATATCCTGTTATGATTAAATATATTTAGACCCTCAACTCTAGGGAGTATATAGTATTATGTAGTAATAAACACAAATCGTTAGCAGACTAGTAGCATGGGCTCCTATAATTGTCTGTGGTCAGCGTCCCTAGAAGGTAGGCATTATAAATCTTCATTTTATAGGCAAGGAGTCAAGTCACATTCTAAAATCACACAGTGGCAGAGCTAGCATCCAGTCTCTTATCTATTGGACTGTAAAGCCTGAAGCTCATACCCATCTGCTATACCTTCTCCAATGTGTTAAAAAATTTCATAGGAATTCTAGATGTTATTTGTTTTTTGACAGAGTCTCACTTTGTAGTTCAGGCTGGCTTTGAAGTCACTACGTAGTCCAGGCTGGTCTCAAACTCATGGTGATCCTCCTGCCTCAGCCTCCCAAGTACTGGGATTACACGTGTGTGCCACCATGCCCAGCTCAGAATTCTAGATTTTTTTTTTTCCGGGACCAGGGATAAAACTCAGGACCTTCGCTTGCTAGGCAGGCGAGGCACTGCTGAGCTACATCCCCAGCCCAATTCTAGGTTTTTAAAAAACTCAGTCATACTAGTGAGGAACAATTTTAAATATTAACAGTTTCAACCTCTTCATTCTGTTTCCAAACATGAATTCCTCATGTGAAACATCTTCCCCACATCACGCAGACACTATCCATCACCCATGCCCTGCCATCCAACTCGCTCCTTCAGTTCTGACACCCAATCCTGGCTCTCGTCATCTTCTTCAAAGTCCCTGTGAAAAAACAGTTTGGATAAGTCTCTATATTAGGGGCACAGTAGGTATCTGTTATGCATTCAAAGCAAAACACTGCCATAACAATATTTAAAGTTTTGAAAAATGAGTTCCACAAGGCAATTGAACAGAGAAAAAATTGTTACATGGTTCTTCTAAAAGATCACTTACTTCACTGTTTCTAAATATTTTTTCAGTGTAAAGTCTAATATATTAAAAACCAATGGGCTGGGGATTTAGCTCAGTGGTTCTGGCACCTGTTTTGCAAGTGCAAGGTCATGAGTTCTATCCCTGGTACCAAAAAAAAAACAAACCAAAAAACCCCCCAAGGTTTCTGAGCCAGGAGTTTAGCTCAGTGGTTCCGCCCCCTGCCTTGGCAAGCGCAAAGTCCTGAGTTCGATCCCCAGTACCACACACACAAAAAGTAACAAGTCTAAGTTGAAAGATTACGTGCAGGACTCAGCCACAAATTCTGAGCCAGGCATAACGGTGCACATCTGTGATCCCAGCATTTGGGAAGCTGAGGCAGGAGGACTGCTGTGAGGTCAAGGCCAGCCTGAACTACATAGCTCTCTCTTCTCTTCTCTCTCTCTCCCCCCCCCCATATATATAATGATAAAAAAAGAATTCTGTAATAAAACTGTAATGGATTACTCATCCCAGACAAAAGATCATGACATAATTCATTTATGATGAAAACTAATACAACAAGCTCCTACTAAATGTGAAATTACTATGGTATAATATAGTACATCCACCCATACACACAGATACACACACCCCAATTAAAGCTTTCTAGGTATATAACATACGTGTCCTCCTCATCTAGCCGAGGTTCCATTCTCTCTGGATCCAAAATGACAGCATCCAGATCTCCATCAACACTGTCTGCTGATTCTGTTTCTTCAGACAAAGGGCCTTTTAAGAATCCTGCTAAAATAGTATCAGAAAATATTTATTTATTTACGTACTGGGAATGAAACCTAGTGCCTCACAGATGCTGGACAAGCACTCTAGCCCTGAACTACACTCCCAGTTTTTATTCAACTTTTATACTTTGGGATAGGGTCTCATTAAGTCACTTGCTGCCCAGGATGGGCTTGAACTTGCAATCCTCCTGCCTCAGTCTTCTGCAGTGCTATGATTACAGGCATGCACTACCATGCCTAGCTCTATTTATTTATTTTTGAGAAGGTCTCTGTATCACCCAGGCTGATCTCCAACTCCTGGACTCAAGTAATCCCCCTCAGTCCACCCTCCAGAGTTCTAGGACTCCAGGTTCCTGCCACAGAGCCCAACTAAATATGCCAATGTAAACAGTATTTACCCAGCATGATTTTTGCCTAAAACGGGCCCAGGAAGCATCAGGAAGTGGATTAAATTGAAAAACAGTAACTTCTTCCAAGAGAAAAAAATACTCAGAAAATTACACTAAAAAAAATACAAGAGCCTATATTAAAGCACAAGGCATCATGCCCCATTCCTGTAACCCAGGACACTGGAGGCTGAGTCAGGAGGACTGCCAAGAGTTCAAGGCCAGCCTGAAGTACATAGGGAGACCCTGTCTAAAACAAAACAAAACAAAAAACCCACCTATATAAAGCATTAAAGTTATCTTTGATAGTTGGCTTACATTTAATATTTCTCCTTTGAGCTTTCCCCTCTCTACTTTTTGTAAAAGAGAGGAAGAAAAGTAAGGAATCAAAGGAAGACCACATGTATGGATTTTATTTTTATTTATTTTTACAGTGCCAAGGCTTTAACCTAGAGTCGTGGGCATGCTGGGCAAGTGCTCCACCACTGAGCCACACCCGCAGGTTTTTTTTTTTTCTTTTTTTTCAGTATAGGGATTGAACTCCGGACCTTGGCTTACAAGGCAGGCGCAGCATCACTGAGCTAAAGCTCTGGCCCTACCTGCAGGGGTTTTTTTTTTAACAACTTTCCAGATAGTGACTGCATTTAGAATTTTTGCATGTAAAACAAATACGTAGCTGGACTGAACCAGCATATGTCTATAATCCCAATCTCAGGCTGAGGCAGGACTGTGAGTTCAAGGCCAGTCTAGGCTGGCTGTATCAAAACAAACAAACAAAAACTAACATAAATATGAAAGCTTAATGTTTATATAAATCATTTCAAAATGTGAGAACCTGTCTCTCCACCACCACCACCACCACAACAAACAACTTACAGCCCCCAGAAAAGAGAAAAAAAGGGAGAAGAAGGGGCTTCCAGGCTGCCATACCACCACTCCCAGAGCAGAGGTAGGGCCTTCTGGGCCACCATACCACTGCTCTGAGCCCAAAGGAAGGGGCTTCCAGGTCGCCGTACCACCACTTCCAGCGCAGAGGAGGTGAGCCATGCAGGCGCCAACAGCACCAACCCCCAAAATGAGAAGACATGTAAACAAGTCTCAAAATCAGACTTCCACTTCGCCTACAGCAAACCCAAAGGGAAATGAGATGGAACACTGATACTCAACCACCTGGACTCCCTGAACTGGCAATAAAAGAGGATCTGGAAAAAATGAAATCAGAAATAATTTCTCAGATAACAGCAGAGATTGTGCTCATAGTGCAAGATGTGATTA